GCTACGAAACGCTGTACTGGGTGTGCGGGACGCATGCGGACGGTAGCACTGGGACCGTTGGTGGGGCTTCCTATGGGGCCTCGAAACGCTGTACTGGGTGGGTGAAACGCAAGGAGGAGGGGGAGGAGGACCACGAAACGCTGTACTGGGTGTGCGGGGCGCATGCGGACGGCAGCACTGGGACCTTCGGTGGGGCTCCCTATGGGGCCACGAAGCGCTGTACCGGGTGGGTGAAACGCAGGGAGGAGGGGGAGGAGGGCCACGAAACGCTGTACTGGGTGTGCGGGACGCATGCGGACGGCAGCACTGGGACCTTCGGTGGAGCTCCTTATGGGGCCACGAAACGCTGTATTGGGCGTGCGGGACGCATGCGGACGGCAGCACTGGGACCTTCGGTGGGGCTCCCTATGGGGCCACGAAGCGCTGTACTGGGTGGGTGAAACGCAGGGAGGAGGGGGAGGAGGGCCACGAAACGCTGTACTGGGTGTGCGGGAGGCATGCGGACGGCAGCACTGGGACCTTCGGTGGAGCTCCTTATGGGGCCACGAAACGCTGTATTGGGCGTGCGGGACGCATGCGGACGGCAGCACTGGGATCTTTGGTGGGGCTCCCTGTGGGGCCACGAAGCGCTGTCCTGAGTGGGTGAAACGCAGGGAGGAGGGGGAGGAGGACCACGAAACGCTGTACTGGGTGTGCGGGACACACGTGGACGGTAGCGCTGGGACCTTCGGTGGAGCCCTATGGGGCCACGAAACGTTGTATTGGGTGTGCGGGGCGCATGCGGGCGGTGGAGGAGGAGGGGGCAGAGGAGGAGAGAACGCGGGGACCGTTTCTTCAAAACGAGGACCCAACACCACAGGATGGTTGGGAAATACATTAGAAAACCATGGGACATCAACAATTTTACCCTCGTTGGGCTCTCTCGGGACGGCTCTCGCAGCTCTCCATTTTTTACTTTTTTTTGTTGGAGCCTCGTCGGGATCTTTCTGGGGCCTCTGAGGGATCGGGGGGGTGTTGGGAGCATCTGGGTGGTCCCGGAGGCCTTTCGGAAGTCTCTGGAAGCCTCCTGCTCCCGCTCTTAGCCCCATCTTGGCATGTTCTGGGGTGGTCTAGGGCTGTCCTGGGCGCCTCTTCGGCAGTCTTGGAGCCTTCTTGGCCCGTCTTCGGGCCGTCCTGAGGGTCTCTTGGGTCGTCTTGGGGCGGTCTTGGGAGCCTCGTCGGCGCTCGTGGACCGTTGAAGCCCGAAGGTGCGAGAAGCCAAAAACATGGGAAAAAACAAATGAGAATCTACGATTTTGGCCTTTTCGGGCCGTCTTGGGACGCCTCTCGGACCTCTCTTGGGGTCTCTTGGAGGTTACCTGGGAGCCTCGAGAGCCGTCGAAAGGCTGACTTGAGCTGCTTGGGAGCGTTTTGGACCATCCTTTCGCATTCTGGGGGCTCCTGGGAGGCGTCTCGGGCCCTCCTGGAGCGCTATAAAGGCCCCCCGGAACGCCCGGGGGAGCGGTACCGGGAGCGTTCCCGAGATGTCACGGGGAGATGTGGCACCCGAGGCCAGGGGGGGCTCTATTGGGGTGCCTCTTGGGGCGTCTTCGGGGCCTCTTTTGGTGTTTTTTCAGGTCTCATGGGGGCCTCTTGGCGAGTGGGCGCTTCTTGGAGCCTCTTGGGGTCTCCTGGGGGTCTCTTGGGCCAAAAGGCGCGAATTTCCGGTCCCTCGTCCCCGTCTTGGGCGCCGCCTTGGGGCGTTCTTGGGCGGTTTGGGCCCCTCGTGGGCCGTCTTGGCCCCCTTATGGGCCGTCTTGGGCCCTCTTGAGGGCATCCTCGACCGGCCTGGGTGAACACACCGAAAACAGCAGTTGTCCTATAGGAGATCGTCGATTTTTGCTTATTGGGGCTCTCTCGGAGTGCCCCTTGGGGTGTATTCGGGGACTCTTTTGTGTTTTGCAGGTCTCTTGGGGACCTCTTGGGGCTTCTTGGGCGCTTCTTGGAGCCTCCTGGGGGTTCCTGGGGTTCTCTTGGGCCGCCAAATGGCTTGCCTGTTCGGTTCCTCGTCCCCGTCTTTGGCGCCGACTTGGGGCGTTGTTGAGCGGTTCAGGCGTCTCGTGGGCCGTCTTGGCCCCCTCGTGGGCCGTCTTGGAGCACTCTTGGGGGCATCATCGACCGTCTTGGCTCTCTCTTGGGCCGTATTGGACGCAGTGGAAGCCCAAGGCGAACACGCCAAAAATAACAGTTTCCTATAGGAAATCGACGATGTTTGCTCATTTGGGGCTCTATTGGGATGCCTCTTGGGAGCCTCCTGGGGGTCTCTTGGGGGCCTCTTGGGGCCTATGGGGGGCTTCTTGGGGCCTCCTGGGGACCTCTCGGGGCCTCCTGGGAGCCTCTGGAGCCGAAAGCTCGGAATTTGAATATGGTTGTGCACCTCTGGGACCCCTCTGGGGCTCGTCCTGGGGCTCTCTTGGGCTGTCTTGGGGGCCTCTCGAGCCGTCTTGGGACCCTCTTGGGG